TCCATTTCTTTTGCGCTCACATGGCCTCAGCTGTAAGAAGTCTAGTGGCACGCTGTGAAGACCAAACTGCTCCCGTATTTCTTATTTTTCTCCTAAATATTGTGCTCAGCACATAATCAGCAAGTAAACTGTGAAAAGGCCTTGGAGGTGTTCGGGGGAGGTCTAGGGTTGAATGAGGAATATCCATTGTTAACCTGCCATATCATTTCCAAGTGTTCTTGGCATCTGCTTCATCAATTAGTGCTTGTGCACTACAGGTAAATCAAGTGTCACTGTTGTTAATTTGTACAATACCTCGACCTGCTCTATCAATCCCAAGGCATCTGTACGCGTAAAATAGGAACACCAGTAATGTGGAAAAAATAAACATGGAACAGAGGCTCAGGATGGGAATTAACTTATGAACCGGTGGCTGAGTCTTGAGAACATGGAGCTGAATAGCTGCTGCTCCTCTCGATGTGAGGAAGCTTCACAGCCGTGAGATGAAGTGTAACTAATTCCTGAGCCAGCCTAGTGTCCAACGCAGGCTCTTGAGCCTAAAGTAGCAGAAGCATCTGTACTTGCCTGGTTTGGGCTTCTTTGGGGTCTCTGTAGTTAGAGGTGAAAAGCTGGAGATTGCCTGGCTGAGCGTTGACGCGCCAGTGGATGTGAATTCTTTCTTTGGTTTTTTATTTTCAACAGTGTTACACCAAGTAGTTACACTCTCTGTTTAAATAGCGGAAAAACTGACATTACAGAAAGTGCCTTAGACACTACAGTACTAAGACAATGTCACATATATAATTTGCCTATATAACTGATTTACTGTATTAATTTTTGACTGTGCTTCATATCATGTACCTCTCTAGTCAAAGTGGTATTCTTGATATTCAGTGATAATGAATCAGTGTTAACTATGAAATCTCATCCCTCTACAATGTGCTTGGAAACATAATTTTCCTTTGGGTTAAAAGCTTTAACATCTGTTACAAAGGTTTTGTTGTGCGTTTGGATATTTTTTTTAATTGAACTGGCTGTTGACCACCAGGCATCTATCTGACTGCAAATATCTTGTTTTCTTGTATACCCATATTTCTAGACAATGATTTTTGTAAGACAATAAATTTATTCATTATAGATACTGATGCCTGCTCCATTTACTTACAAGAAAAATGATCTCCTGAGGCTTACATGGACTAATAAACAAGAATATGACTGGCAGTTGCTTCTTCCTTCTTACTGTTAGCTGGTCTGTTGTGACTTGCGTCAAGGGCCAGTCCAGGGCGCTGTGCTTTGCCATGGTTCCCAATCCAGCTTTGGCATGTTCTTGTCATTGCATGCCCTGTCACTGAACTTAAACTGAAATACGAGAGGGAGAGATGCACAGTCCTCTGCAGGCACGAGTCTCTGATTTAAATGACTCTTCATGCTCTTGTGTGATTTGTCTCCACTCCGGCCTTTGGGTGGCCACGTTCAGGTGTAGTCTGTGTGAACTCCACAGTAGGATTCCCTTGGATGTTGAGCTGCCGGCAGTGTGCTTGCTGGAGCCGGCAGTGAGCGCCGGGGAGGAGCGCTTCTGAAGGAGGAGTTCCCCTTGACCCTGCTGGATGGACCTGTGGCTGATCAGCTTAGGCTTTTGTCTGTGCATCTAGAATGGAGGGCGCTGCGGCAGTGCTTAAAGCAAAGTGCTAGACAGCGATCTCCCAGTGCTTGAAATCGCCACAAGGGGCGTAGTTAAGTGCTGGGAGCCCATTGACATGGGCACTTCACTTATGCTGCAACAGCCCTACAAGCCCCAGCGCTCCTTGGACCTTCTACTGCTGTCAGCGGGTGTCCTCTAAACATTCTAATACAGACCCTGAGATTACAGTAAGGCCCTGTAATGTGGCCAGCAACATGCCAATTCATACAGGGAAGGCAAAGCTCAGGCTCGTTCTCCCCCCTCCCCAGTGTCTGGCGCTGGCCTACTCTTGTTTTGCAGGCTAACTGGCATCCAGCGATGACTTGTCTACAATGCTTCACCACGTGGGCTTGAGGGCGTCTCCGCGGTAGGAAGGCCTGTCCCTGAGCACAGAGCAGGTGCATGGCTTGAATTCAACACTTCCTGCTCCTGGGGGGAACCAGCTGCGCAGGGGCCTGGATAACAGTTGGAGCCCTGGCCAATCTCGACAGTGAACCCTAAGTCCAAGCTACGGGCACAGGCACAGTAGAGAACAACATGGCTCTTGCTGTAGCGATTTAGCTCCATGCTGCAAGTATCAGACCGAAGAGCCTGTTGATTAAAGGGTGTGTGGACCAAGCCCAGCGCTGCTGCCTGCGCTCTGAGCCTGTGCTTGCCAGCCGTTGGCTCGGAGTGGAGGTGGCTGGGAAGACGGGGGGGCTACGGTAGAGCTCTAGGCGGTGGTTTCGGAGGCCTTCCAACCCCACCCAGGCTCTGCTGCCTGTGGCACAAGCGGGAGATGGAGTCACTTCCCAGCCAGGTACATTTTGTCTGGAGGGGACTGAGGCCAGAAGGGACCAGTGACCCTCCATCCAGAACGTTCCACAGCTAATTCCTGCTTTGAGTCCCCTCGCAGGGACTGAACTGGGAGCCAAAGGGAATGTTGGTTTGTTTTTTCTAACGGATACAATTGAAATGGGGCCAGTGCTGGACAATCCTCACAAGCCGGGGGGAGCTAGGCCAGTGCTGCATTGCCCTCCTCCTTGAACAAACACACAGCTGTTTAGCTTCCAGCCCCGGGCCTTGGCTTGCCTGCTAAACCCTCTGCAGCAGGTGTTCAGCTGCCAGATGCGGTGCAGGAGCTAACAAGGCCACGAGAGGGGGTAGAGTTGCTGTGTAGGGACAGGCAGGGCGAAGAGGGCTGGAGGGAACTGACT